CAGTTCGAGGCCATGAGCAACTTCAATTCAGGCATTATGACTTGTACGCGTGGTCGGAATTAAATTTTAGGAAGTTCGGAGTTGACTTGGAAAGGAAATTCTCATTTCGGAAGCTTTAAGTTGAGAGAATTGACTAGGATTGAATTTCAGAGTAAACGACCTCGGAATCGGGATCTGAAGGTTCCAGTAGGTTCGTATGATAATTTCGAACTTGGGCGTATGTCCGGATCGGGTTTTGGGTAACCCGGGAGCATTTTGGCGCCTATTGTGGAAGTTAGCATTTTGGAAGAAATTTCATAAGTTTGGATTGAAGTGCATTTTAGTGTTATCGATGTCCGTTTGGGATTCCGACTCTGGGAGAAGCTTCATATGGTGATTCTGGAGTTGGGAGCGCGATCGGAAGTGAATTCGAAGGTCCGTGGATCATTTTGGAGTCATTTGGCTATAGATAGAAATTTGAATGTTTTTGAGGAGTTTGACCGGAAGTGGACTTTTTGATCCGATCCCAGTAGTTGGAGTAGGTCCGTAATGTCGAATATGACTTGTGTGCAAAATTTGAGGTCAATCGGACGTGATTTGATAGGTTTCGGCATCAAATGTAGAAGTTTGAAATTCTAAAGTTCATTAACCTTGAATTGGAGTGCGATTCATGGTTTTAGCGTTATTTGATGTGATTTGAGGCCTCAAGAAGGTCCGTGTTATGTTATGGGACTGGTTGGTGTGATTGGATGGGGTCCCGGGGGCCTCGGGGTGGTATCGGATCATTTCGGGCTGTTTTGCAATAGTTGATGCTGGTATCTGGTGTTGTTCTTCGCGTTCGAGAGGATCCTCTCGCGTTCGCCAAGAAGGATTTGGCTTCAGGGACTTTGTTCTTCGCGTTCGCGAAGAGGACATCGCGTTCGCGAAGAATGAAATCTCTGTTGCACAGGTCTGACTTCGGAGGCTCATATTTCGCAATCTATAAAGAATTTGGAGATGATCCAAAACTAAAAGTTGTAGCTCTTTGTGTCTAGTTTTCAGAAAGGTAAATTATTTATCATTTGGAGTTTTGTACGAAAAGTTATGGCCATTATACTAGAGGCTGTCTGAGAAGAGCTTGAAAAATAGTTTTTTGGAATTTTCTTCTTCGCGAACGCGACGGGTGTCTCGCGAACGCGAAGAAGAGTCGTCTGGGCAGTGTATAAGTGTAAAGAAATGGGTTCGGCTCATTTCATCTCATTTCCTCCATGGGATCCGACCTAGGAGCGATTTTGGAGCTCCATTTTCATCATCTATGTCATGGTAAGTGATTCCCACCTATTGCAAGTTAATTACTTGGATTATATCTAGATTTTAACATGGGAAATTAGTGAAAATTGGAGTTTTGAGGGAAAACCTAGAAAATTGATATTCTTGGAATTTGACCACGATTTTGGGTATGGAATTAAGAGAAAATCATATATTTGAGTTCATGGAGTCATGGGTAAGCTTAATCTTCAAAAAAATTCGGAATCTGGGCACGTGAGCTCAAGGGCGTCTTTGTCAACCTTTCGATCGGGGGCTAGGAATTGTTATAAATTGGATTAATATGAGTAGTTTATCGTATATTAATGAATTTGCATAATCATTGGCTAGTTTTGGGAGTATTTAGCATCGATTCAAGTCTTCGGAAGGGCGTGGAATGCCGGTTATGGATCTTCGGAGCGAGGTGAGTCTCCTTTCTAACCTTGTGAGAGGGAATTGTCCCCATAGGTGAAATAACTGGTTATGTGCTCCTATTGTGGGGACTACGTACGCACAAGGTGACGAGAGTCCGTGCGTAGCTACTAATATGTGTAAGTCCGGGTAGTCTAGGACCCAAAAAGCATGCTATACTTGGAATAATTGCAATCTTATTGACAGTTGAATTTCTTAAATCCTCGAATTGGTAAGTAAATTTGTAAGAGGATTAAACTTGTTCCTCAAATCATTAAAAGAGAATTGGCTTCTAATGGGATAAATATTCCCCGTAAAATTCTTAATTTGCTGTTGAGCATGTGTTTCTATGTGTACCTGCGTCGCGTGTATGGTACGCGAGCAGGGTGATTGTTTATTTAAATATGACCGCATCGCATGTATGATTCGCGAGCGGGGTAATAGATGCATCTATGGTTCGGGCCGCTCAACCCTCGGCAGTGCACATTTTAAATATTGTTGGATCGGGTCGTACGACCTCGGCATGAGTTGCGCATGTTTGTATTGCTTGCTGTGATATTTGTTGATACTAATATCTGCTTTACCCGACTTGAGATAATTGTTAATTAATGGATTATGAATCCGGAGACTTTTAATAAAAAGGGACTTTTACCTGTTTAGTAATTCATTTGAATCTACTGTTGTCCTTAATAAATTCATGAGTCACCGTTTTAATAATATTATTATTTGACCATTAGTAAGTGTCGAAGTTGCCATCTCGTCTCTACTTCTTCGAGATTAGGCGGGATACTTACTGAGTACACGTTGTTTTCGTACTCATGCTACACTTGCTGTGCATTTTGTTGCACAGGTACAGGTATTTCTATTAGCCCATTTGGCGTAGCAGCACGGGCGACCCGGAGACTAGGTGAGTTGTATTTTCTCGAGGCGGCCCGCAGCTAGTATAGTCTCTCTCAGAATTTTATTTACTTCCTGTCCATTTATGTTCTGGACAGCTGTTGTACTTTATTCAAATTCTTAGAAAAGTGCTCATGGTTATGAAGTATTTTGTATCAATTACTTATCATTTAATTTGAATTAAAGCGATTATCTTTTTTTTTTATTTGTAAATTTGGAGGAAAATCATAGATTTCAAGAGTATTAAAATGAGAATTTAATTAAGTAATTTGGTTGGCTTGCCTGACAGTGGTGTCCGGCGCCATCACGACCCTTAGTGGATTTTGGGTCGTGACAAGACGTCAAGCTGAGTCAAGGTCACACGATAAGGAAAGAAAAAAAGTGAAGTTTCCTAGATGTCATGTAGCCTCTAGAAGAGAAGTATGGATGTTATCATACTAATCTGCAAGACTCTACTAGACATTTCATCATGACTTGTATAACCTATGAACCTATAGTTTTGATACCTACTTGTCACGATCCAATATGCCACCAAGTTGTGACGGCACCTAACCTTACCTGCTAGGTAAACCAACAAACACATACACAATTGAAATCGAGAATCATCAAATACATTAATATAAGAACACGAAAATCAATACACCTATTCTAAGAACTAGAAGTACAAGTTGTGTGCCACTAAGATTTTAGATTTACAACAACATCTGTTTGAATATACATAAACAAAAGTACAATTCTAATCTACCATGAACAAAAGGGTAGCTTGCCACTGGAATGCTAGTACATCTCCAATGCTAGCCTTCGTCATCCACAACAACTCAACTCCAAAATCTGCACACAAGGTGCAAAAGTGTAGTATGAGTACAATTGACCCCATGTAATTGTAACGATCAGCCTTTGAGCCTCATTTCCCTATTTGATACTTTGCGTATACGTGTTTGTTGTTTAGTGACGTACGAGAATGGTTGGTTTGATTTTGGGAAGGTTTGAGAGTAAGTTGGAACACTTAGTGCCAATTTAGAAGGTTAAGTTGCTAGAGTTAACCTAAGTTTGACTTCTGAACGCCCTCGAGCTGGTGATTTTATAGGTCCAACATGTTCTTATGGCAATTTCAGAATTAGGCATATGTTCGAATTTGGATTTGTAGGTTCCTAGAAGGTTTTGGCTCTTTTTGCCGAAAGTTAGCAATTTGAAGATTTGGAGAGTTCATAATTTTACCAGGAGTTGACTTTGATGTTATCGGCTTCCGAGACTTTGGTTAGGTTCATTTAGTGGATTGGAACCTGTGTGCGAAGTTTGGTTGGAATCCAGAATGCTTAAGCATGATTCAAATGTGTTTGGCGAATTTAGAAAGTTTGGAAGTTAAGGGATGGATTTTAATGGTTAATTCTTGGTTTTGATGCTAATTGTGGTGTTTTGATCATTTGGATAAGTTAAGATAAGGTATTAAGATTCATTTTGTATGGTTAGATGGGGGCCCGAGGGCTATGTTTGTTTCAAGATGATTCGGCATCACTTTAGATGTTGGCATTGGTGGTGCTGGTGTGCCGCACCTGCGATTCTCCTAGTACACAGGTGTGATGTCTCACATGCGAAGATTCCAGGCGGAGAAGTGAAGGAAGGCTTGGTCCTATAGTTGGCTGCATCTGTGAGGTGGTTTGCTTAGATGCGTAAATTTATCGTGCGCTTACAAGGAGTGGTTTGCCTAGGAGTGTACACATCTGCGAAAGGTAGGACACACCCGCATCTCCACAGTTGCAATGATGTGTCGTAAGTGCAAGGGAAGGCTGATGGGGGGTAGCTCGCAGAAGCAAGGATTTTTCGCAGATACGATCTGGCTGGTGCAAGATTTTTAGCCACAGATGCGAAGATTTTTAGCCACGGATGCGAAGATGCTTGGGCAGACCACTTAAGAGATTTATTTCCGAAATTGACCCATTCTCTCATGTTTTGAACCCTAGACTTCGAGCGACGGAGATTTTGAAGAGCAAATTCACTATTACATTGGATGTAAGGTATTCACTTAGATACGGCTTGATATCTTGATTCCCTATTAAATTCGACACCTAAAACTTGAAATTCCAACGTGAAAATTGGAGTTTGTGTACAACTTAAGAAGTCGAATTTTGGAGATTTGATGGTCGATTTAAACTTGATTTTGAAATCTAATCACATATTTAGACTCTGAGGATATAGGTAGTCAAAATCTACTCTTTGACTCGAGTCTTGACCATGTGCACCAAAATTAATTTTTGTGACTTCTGAGGATTTGATAAAAGATTGAAGCTTTATATTTTTCAATTTTCTTTGAACACCCCTAGAAGCTGCACTCTGGTAACGTGAAACAAACTGTAATGTCAACTTTTACCTTATTTCCAGAGTTTTAGATAAGGCTTTAGACTAAGTATTCCTGATACATAAAAATAATGAAATGGGAAGGGAGAAAAGGATGCATATCCCAAATTCTCTTTTTATCATCCTCTCTGGAATAAGCTTGCTGGGTTAATAGAAATGAACTTTATAAGGAAACATTTACATAGAAATTTGTCTCCTTTGAAGAGAAAACATGATGAAGGCACTTTACAGAACCTTTGCCTATTTAAAAATTCCTTGCGACCCACCAGTATGTTACCACTTCTCAGAGATAAGGATGGCCAAAGCATGTGCCAGCAGATGAATATGTTGATTCTGCAAACCAACACAACAGCCTGCCTTAATATGTTACGTCCTGCGCATTCCTCATAACCAAGATCCGTCTCTAACAACCTGGACAAATGGTCCCCATTTATCTGGTTACTGCGGGTTGTTTATACATGTTAATAACAGCCTGAACAAACTGGTCGCTTATCGCAACTTTCTTCATGAATTTCTGCTTCTAACAGATTACATCTATAGGCTAACTGTATGCTTATATTAGCGCTTGAATTCCAATTTAACCACCCAATCAAGAAGGTGATAACCCAGGCAGGGTATCTTAAGCAGCATAATCTAATAATTATTGCTTTGCTTCCAGAAGAATAGCAGAATATGGTGCAACATTATAAGTTCCACCGATACCAGCAATGCCTTCAGTAACAAAATCATCAGGGGATTTCAGATTAGTGTCCACCTGCACTTAAAACATTATCAGTTTGTACGAAATTTGAAGAGGTAACACCTTTAGTTTCCGGGCTACTTGAGAAAGTAAAAATCTAGACACCACCACCAAAACAAATACTAGCTAGATTGAACAGACATGCAAATCAACCTTCCTTCTCATAAAAAATTGGAACTTACAACAGAGCGAACAAAATAATGTAAAATAAATGGAAGATTGTCTGGAGATAGGTCCAAATGGCTGTTGTTTCGCAGATTCGGCAGAATGAAACTTTACGAAGAAAGGATATCATGTCATAGATCGTTTATTAGTTTCCAATTCATCCAAGGTAAAATACGCCTATGCAGTATCTACTGCATATTTTCCTTTTCATGCTTTTATATCTTCTGAAGTGAAATATCCTGTATTTTAGCGTGCATATTCTGAAAAGGATATGGTAGTGTCAAAATAAGTTTTCAGAAAAAAGGAACACGATCTTTGTATGATTGACAGGAGTCTGAAAATTTTAGGGAGGAAAAAGAATAAGATGGTAAGTTTACTCATTTATTTATTTATATATTATAGTGAATCAGGCGTCGCGTTATGCCCACGTCCTGTACTGTAGCACAAGTTTGGAAACACTCCGTGAGCCAGTAAGCCCTTTATTTGTTATAGTTGTGATTGTTTCTTGCTGTATTCTTCAGATAACAAAATAAAATGGTTAGTATTTTTATTTATTTAGTATAATAATGCAAGGGGAAGGCGACATTGTATATTCGCCAGTGCCCTCTAACCCAGCACTAGTTTGGGAACACTTCGTGAATGGGATAAGCCCTTTATTTATTATAACAACGATTGCTACTTGTATTCTTCTGATGACACGACTAACACAAGCAATACTATAATGTAGTAACCAAATGGTAGCTTTTCCCCTAATTTTCATATCTTCATATCATTTTAACGAAACTGCAAGGCATTATCTCATATTAGCATAACCACTGGTATTGTATCCCTATCCAACATAGTATTGTATCCGTATTCAACATCATACTGGTACTGCAGCCATGCTACGTATATGACTGCTATTATTTCACATGCTATAAAGTGTATGTCATATATAACACTGTATATGACTGTATGCCGTACAGTGTTTGTGTTTTCTTCTATACCAAGTAGCTTCTTATATTCCTTTGACAGGCTTCAATGAGATTGTAATGCTGAAAAATATGGATTAAAATCATTATGTTGGGCTAACCAGCCCAAAGATACTTTAATATGGCGTGATACTATCCGCCTTGGGTCAAGCCCGCGCGGTTTTCCCCAAAAGACTCCCCTACACCTTTTATATATAGGTTACCAATCTTTTCAACTACTAATGTAGGACTTTGCTTGCACACCCAACAATCTCTCCCTCAAACTAAGTTCCATGTGGCCATGATCCGTCAATTTCCAAGATTCATTATGTGTTACCCACATTATTAGAGTGTTTATGGCAATCGAAGCCCACACTTAGCTTCTTCTTGTCTGTGTGTTTCTCTAAGCTCGTAAGGGGAAGTAAATCAAGCCCCACACGATTACTCTGCCACCGGCATACTGGTCCCGCCGAACCGGGACTCTGATACCAATTGTTGGGTCAAAGCTCACACGGTTTTCTCCAAAAGGCCTCACACAATTAAAAGATTCTTACACCTTATATGTAGGTTTCCAATCTTTTCAGCTACCAATGTCGGACTTTGTTCGCACACCCAACACTTTTTATAAATTAGAGAATAGTTAGTATGTTCTACTTTCAATTTCCCCCTTTTTAAATGAAATTCCACTTAAAGTTACATAAAAAAGGAAATCCGTGTATCCATACTCCACTACTCTAATTACAAACTAAGGATACAACTATATCCAATTCAGTAGCACGAATATGATGGATAAGGGTAAGGTCGAGATAGGCAATTCATCTACCTTGATTGTTTACATTCCGGAAAGAGCAAGATGTTAAACTTCAATTCAGACAAAAGAAAGCGTTCAATGGGAAATGGGATAGGAAAATGGGGAAGTAATACAACACTTGCCAGCTTGGACCCATAAATTGCAAATTGGAAGGTAAAATTCTATATTCCAAAAGAATAAACAAATATAGAGCAGTAGCAGAATTCAGAGGCTGTCTCGTATTTCGTTTTGGATGTATATGCAAAAAGCGTTCCTTAACTAACAGGAATAGCTTACCACACGGTGCCAGCACCTATTTCGTGGTGGAGAAGGTATTGCTGCTTTGACAGAAAAGTGGTGCGCATTAAATGCTAAGTAAATATCTCCTCCATTCCCATCGTGGAGCCTACATTGTACAAAGAGAACACATAATGGCAATTCAGTTGTGCGAAAACAATAGATCATAAATTTTTGATATTGTCAGAGTAAATGCTGGTTGAAAAACTGAAATCAGCTGCAAGAGAAAACTGAGAGACAGAAGAAAAACTAGAGAAAAATCAGTGCTAAAGAAACAGAGTTCATGAAAGCAGTTTAAAAAGGACTGGACATCATTATCATACATCATCAGCGTGTGAGTGAATTCAAAATGCAGAAATAGAGAGGTGATTGGCTACAAGCCAATTGTCTTACTGAGAAGATCTCAAAGCATGAGAAAAAACAACGGAACAATCTACATTTTAAATAAAAACTATATTTGAGCCTATCCATCATCTAAATATGGAGATTATTGTCAGTTTGTCAATAGGGATTAGTTTCTTACGTAAATGCAAGGAATCTACTCTCTTCATTGTACCAGTTGTCCTCAAGCCAGGTAATCTCGTTCTGCAAAGGAATTTTTGCTTAGCCATCAGAATAGTCGAATTGAGACGGCAACACTCAAGAGTTAATTTCAGAAAACATTATGTACTACAATGGAACTGCACCTATCTTTATTTAGTGATATTCAAGCTAATTTCATTATTTCACCCGGGGGAAAAAAGAATGATAACAGGCACCAAAAAATTCAAATAGCTAGAAATATCTCAAACACCTTGAAGAGAACCATCAGTACTTGAGGGGTCCAACATTGATTAATTCTTCCGAACATGTGAAAAGGAAACAGCCTATAAAAGGACTTGTGGATCATAGATGCGATAACCTAAACTAACTGTATGTCATGTGAGGAAACACCATGTAAGTATGTTCGTCAGAGAGGACCCCAAAAAGACTGACCTTTAGCTTAGTTTCAGTACCCTCAGGTTAAGTCCCACCAACTCCAACCACAAATCAGAAGGTCTAAATACATTTGTATCATTTTTATCACATACTCGTGATCATTACTTCACAGGCACTCTTTCATTAGCTTTTTCTGTTGTATTCATACTTAAAAACAAAGAATATTGCCACAAATGAAATTACACATACAATTAATTTTACAAATTAATTCTCTCTCAGTAATACAATTGCCATTAAAGTTAAATCAGACACCAGGTAGACAACATTATTACCTTGTCAAGGAAATTTTCTTTTTTAAAAATACTGTGTGACTGTCGAAACTTTATCATCTTGGAGAAGAACCTGAAGTGATCATTCTTCTTTGCTTCCAACTGGATTGACAAAGTTCATTGGGTTACATTCAACAAAGGAAATAAGTTATTACTTGCAATAACAGGAAAGAAGTAACAGCGATGGAGATAACATAACATCATACTTGACCCCACTGGAAATTGTTGATAGCTGTATCATGTCCATAACTGTTATTATTTCCACGGCGGGTATGCCCATATTCATCCCCCATTAGCATCATTGGTGTTCCCTTTATAGCAAGTACAAGAATTTAGAAAGAAAGGTAAACTTGCAAAAACATAATAAGGTTAGGATATCTAATACATATATAACACTATTAACAAGAAAACTACTGAAGCTAGGGAATAATCAAGGAAAGGTAAGAGTAGGTAATACATTAAGGAATTTAAAACGCCCTATACAATCTCCGAAGGCTCAAAAACAAAAAATGCAACCAAAATCAGAACAGCAATAAAGTAAATTGAAATATTAGATTTGGAATCATAGTATGTCAAAATAACCCTTTTTATGAGGGTTTGAGAAACCAATACTTCAACCGAAACTAGCCCGAAACAAACATCGAAACATGACATTTGCTATCGCACTATGTCAAAAGTGTGGCCCTAAAATTATATGGCAGTGTTTTATTTCTTGTTGAACAATGTAGGACAAATTCTGTAACAAATAAGCTCAATAAACACACACACACACACAAAAAAAAAAAAAAAAAAACAAGTTGGGGTTCGGCTATATGAATCCTTATTTCTCCATTTAACATCAACTCTTGGAAAAAGAAATTGTGGAACCAATGGATAGCTACTGACTCATTCACAATATCTGCAAGAAAAGAAATGCACATGCTGTTAACTGAGCAGATGAGCATCACACACCTGTGAAATCATCAGTGCCAAATGAAAATTTTTCATTTGCCGCGAACGCAATGCGCAAATATTAGGATCTGAAGTTTCACCTGGAAGACGATACAACAAGATGACAGCCTTTGTGATAGGATTTGAAACAATAACATCAATTATGAAAGAAATCTCCGTTTGGGAACTGTTCCAATTAGTAGGTGTAAGTTGCAATAAGATTAAATCTTGTCCTTGCCTCAGTTTCAGAAATCTAGTACATACTGTCCACCAATAATACCCAGTCGTAAAAAGGGGGAGGGGGGGGGGGGGGGTAGGAGGAATAAAGTCAATGGCTACCTGGATATGAGTCTGTCAATGAAGTCTGAAGACAATAACAGTCAAGTAAATCCTAAAAGGAATACACTACACAAATAAATATCAAAGGCAAGTAATGGCTCAGTATACAAGTGGACATAGGTAGTTTTACTAAAGCCAAAAATTAGTATGCTTCGCTGTCAAGGCATCATTATCTATTTTTAAGGATTGAATTCTTCACTTCATCATATTATACCATTCTATTTTTTGAGCCGACACTCTCTTTTTGGCTGCTGTATCAAGCTAGGTTGTTCTCACAAGCATCTGCCTTAGATACAGTATTCACTTCATTCTTGGAGGACAGGGATAACCATTTTGTAGATTTAAAACTCATCATTTTACTAGTGTGAGCAAAAACGTCATATTCATGCTCTCACTTCTTTTTTGCCACATCGCTGCTGGCTACAACATAATAATCCATTGTCTTTTTTCTAACTTGAACCGATAGAAGAAAGAAAAAGTGGAAGCCAAGATACAACAAATGATATCTCATTGCAATGTAATTTGGATTAGTTTCCAAAATACAGACAACTCCGCAGACCTTTATTACTCCCTCTATCCCAATTTATGTGACACATTTTTCTTTTTAGTCAGTCCCAAAAAGAATGACATCTTTTTGTATTTAGTAACAATTTAACTTTAAAATGTTCATTTACTCGTAATGAGATAATTTTTAGCCACACAAATATCTATGAATTATTTTAGATCACAAGTTTTAAAAGTCTTTATTTCTTTCTTAAACTTTATGCCCAGTCAAACAACAACAACAATAACATACCCAGTGTAATCCCACAAAGTGGGGTCGAGGAGAGTAGTGTATACACAGACCTTACCCCTACCTTTGTGGGATAGAGAGGCTGTTTCCAATTGACCCTCGGCTCTAAGAAAGCACCGGTATCAAAATAATGAAAAGAAATACGATAACATAGAAGTTATAGAAGAAGTAGTAGACCAACAAAGTAATAGGATGACCGAAGCGAAAGAAACATCAAGTAGTACTCCCTCCGTTTCAATTTAAATGAGGTAGTTTGACTCGGCACGGAGTTTAAGAAGAAAGAGGACTTTTGAAACTTGTGGTCTTAAAAGCTTAAGGGGTAAAAGCTTTGTGGGGTCATGACATTTGTGTACTTAAAAAAGCTTCTCATTAAGGGTAAAATTGGTAAAATGAAGAGTTTAAAGTTATTTCCAATTAAAGAAATGTGTCACTCTTTTTGGAACGAACTAATAAGGAAAGTGTGTCATTTAAATTGAAACAGAGGGAGTAATAAAAATCTAAGAATACGAAAATACGGGAATACATACTAGTACTACCGGTATAGGAAGGAAGACGCTCGGGTTACCTACTACCCTCCCACCCTAATACTCGACCTTCACACATTCTTATCAAGGGCCATGTAAAACACCGCTACATAAATTGAGACGGAGGGAGTATTATTTAATATGCAATAGCCCACAAGTCTAAGATTCCAAATAAAATTTAATAACATAATTAATAATGACAATGTGCAAAATAAAATTTAGAAAAACAAAACATGTAGGGCGTAATAGCTTGAGGACGGAATAAACTTTACATTTTCAGCATCCATCATTGGAAGAAAAATATTGCTAAAATCTTGGACTCGAGCAGAATATATGATTCCTTAAGAAAGAATAAAAGTTTAACGCATGGTCATATTTTTGTGATTGCACCAAACAAGATAAAAGATAATAATGCTCCATCCGTCCAAAAAAGTATGATACTTTTTGGATTTAGAGATTCAAATGAGTTGTTCTTTGACCACGATTTTTTCATATACCTTTTAAATATTTTGAATTGTTAATTATTGTGACTTATAGTACTTTTTATGTAGTTTTCAAATATATATATAGATCTTATTTTTAAAAAATCGAAGATTCTACATCCTAATTCATGGTCAAAGTTAAGAAGTTTGACTCTCGAAATCAAAAAGTATCATCTTTTTTGGGACGGAGGGAGTAGTCTGATATGATAATATAAATGTGAAAAGACAAGAAGTTTTAGGGTCTATTTGAAAAGCCATATGTAATTACCAAGCTATATAATTACTAGGGTAGTAATTGCATAGTGTGGTAATTACACAGTATAGTAATTACAATGACTTGTTTGCTTGTTAGAACGTAATTACAGTGTAATTCTCATTGTCATGTTTTGTTGGACAAGTGTAATTAAAAAGTTAATTAATTCTTTTTTCAAATTAACATGTGGATAAGTTTTATTGTGTGAAAAGCATATATATTAATAAGGAATATCTAATATTAATTTATTATATGTGGTATTAAAAATAGGGAATATGAGAGATGATAGTCTTTTACTTTTTTTTTTTAGGAAGAGAGATAATTTATATTAAAGTACTAAGTAGATCTTTTAACAACCACATGCAGTGAGAATAAGTAGATGATAAATTTTTGTGAAAGGAGTAATAATGCAAGAACTGGTTTTGTTCGGTAAATAAAAGGTCCTAATTTTGGATAAGGATGTCTACTGTAAAAAAAATTATCATATTTTGCAAAACCATATCAATTAATATAACTAATGATACTCTAAGATAATATAATACATACTAAGCAGTTATTATTTAACAAAATAATGTATATCAATAATACTAGTCAGAGTAGCTATTTAACCACTTTCAATAACCTGAGTCGCTATAATGAAAGTGCCACGAGCATGGGGCCAGAGACAGGACTGGTCAATTTTGCTAATTAGAACAAAGTTTCTGAATGAGAAAAATGCAGTGAAGGGTGGAGGACAGTTAAAAGTGAAAGAGGTATGAGTTTTAAGAAAAAATATTTGAAAAGAAGGGGAAGAGTTTGAAACCTTGAAAAGAAGGGGAAAAGTTACACCCAATTCTTTACCCCTCCTTGAGAGTTGGAGTGTGTAATCACTCCCTCTCAGTTACACCAAATTTCTTACTAACCAAGTATTTACTAGGCCAAACAAGCAGGTCAAACTGTGTAATTACACCCAATTACACTCAAATCCAATTCCCTTGTGGCTTTCCAAAGAGGCTCTTAGTTTACACAAACAAAACAGGAAGAATGGAAAGAATAAATAAGTGGGTTCAACCTCATCTTTACCTTCAATTCCACAATTCCAACTGAAATTATCATTGCATCCGTCATTGCCACCTTCGCCATTAGCATCATTATGCTGTAATTTTCAACATCCGAATCCATATGATGTACTAGTTTTCATATTTTCAACAACAGACAAGGGTCATATATACCCCTCTATTTTCAAATATTGTTTATATTTTCCTCTGTTAAACTATTCGACTATATATACCCCTACCGTTATACTTTTGAACAAAAATACCCTTCATCCGTCAAAGGATCCAGACCCAACCCTAAAATAGACATGTGGAGAGTTAAAACACCCGATTAATTTGCCCAAAACCCACCCGACCCATCCTAGAATCCTGTTCTAAACTCTCACCTTTCTAGAGGACTCCTAATGAAAATTTGAGAAGCCTCGCATCATATCCTTATTGACTTCTGAAGTACATTTATTTATCGTTTCACCATTAGTAAGAAACTTCAATTACTTATATCATTCTCTACCTTAATCATGGTGGATAAAGAACTGTTCACCCTTTAGAAATTGCCAAATGAATCCCTTCGTTCAAAGTTGCCACGGAAGGTTGTCAATGAAGAGCTTTTTTTTTGTTGATAGAAACCTTTGAATCGGCGAGGTTTATGTTGGCAGAAAAATTTCCTGGGTTTTGTTTGAGCTTAGCTTTCATTAATTTTTAAAAATTCCGATGGAGTAAAACAATTCACAAACTTAATTAAAACGATAATTTTTGCTCAGTTTGATAAAAGACGTGACAATGTGAAGTCCAATATTTTATACTTTCCGTGAAGGAAATGCTTTGGCAAATCATCTTGCTAATAGAGATTTTGAGACTGAAAGGGGATTCTATGCACTAATTTACTGAACTTACATCAAAGGGAAAAGCTTAATATAGAAAAGAGTCAATGTCCATCTTTGCAAATTAAACCTGTGATATCGAGAAGATGAAGATAATTTTGGTAACTATACTGGTTACTGCGATGGCAATGGCATTGGTCTCATGGTGCTTTTTGGGACTACAGATGGTAGTGCTATTAGCATTGGAGACATGGTGTTTCATGAAGGAAAATTCCAGATTAGGTGATAGGAGGAGAAGTTTGATGATCACGGTCCAACGAGTGTTCGAGATTAGGTGAGCTTGGTTAGTGCAATTCCAAGGGGTTGTAATGTGGTAAAGCTGCCTCCTTTTTGTATTCTTGGCGGCAGTTTTGGAATTTTTGCAGCGACTTCTACAGGGGAAAATGGAGGAGATTGGGGCTTGAAAGAAGAGATGGTTTAGAATAGGATTCTAGGAAGGGTCGGGTAAAGGGTTTGGGCAAATTAATCGGGTATTTTAGAATGTGTAACAACTCTCCACCTGTCTATTTAACGGCTGGGACTGGATCCTTTAACAGGTGAAGGGTATTTTTTTTCAACGGTATAATGGTAGGGGTATATATAGTCGAATAGTATGACGAAGGACAGATACAAACAATATTTGAAAGTAGAGCGATATATATGACCCTTTCCTTTCAACAATAAAAGCCGTTAAAGAAGAATAAAAATATCAAACTAAACATATACCTTACTATTGTATGAAACAAGATCATACAAGGTAAAGCCATCATGTGCAATCACGAAGTTGACACTGTGATACGGCTTTCGCTTGTTCACCTATGTAAGCAAAAACATAATATATCAGCTCAGTGAAGTTGAGGCAGCATAAAAAGAATTCCAAATGTTAGGTTGGCATAGAAATTTGCTTAAGTTTAAGTTTTTTGATGAAAAATTCAAATGATCTACATGAAAGATAGACCAAGTAAACCTTCCAATAGAATTGTTTGCATGACAGATGCATAAGCCAAATATAAGGCATCCCTTTGTCACAATTTTCTTTTTATTTTTCATTTTATTCTAAGAGAGAAGTCACTCCTAGTTCTAGGTGTCAAACGGGGCGGGCTGGCCCGGTTCCGGACCGGCCCTGACCGGTTTTAGACCGGCCCGGCCCGGCCCGGTGGTAAGGGGATCGGGCAGGGTTGGGTTTGAACGGAAACCGGCCTGTGCCGGGGGAAATTTCTATACTCAATAGGCTCTGATACTATATCAAACATCGGAGAATTAGCTAGAAATGAGCTCAAGGTGAGCTCCAATGGAGATTCCCTAGAAGCTTCTAGATGTGTTCGCAGCAGTTGAACAAGAGAGATGAAGGAGATGGGAAAATGACTCCATCTATTAACGTTCTCAGATAGAGCAATATATACACAAGACAAAGAAAAATAATAAGAGTGAGGTAGAGTGAGCTGGCAGGTAACTGCCACTAACGACCTATACAGCTGGCAACTACTAAACGTACTAACTAACTAATAATTAATTCATCTCTTAACAGCCCCTAGGGCTTGAGTTCACGACTATTTGCACAAGTTTTGGGAACATAATTCGGGTTAGCATGGTGTTAGAAAAGTAGGCATGGGTGATGACTTAGAGCTCAAAAAAGCAAGGTAACAAAGTACTATAAGAGGCTGTTAACAGTGAATTAAAAAGTAACTTAGACGTGAAAGAAAGATAAATGGTCCTAGATCCCGAGTTACAATTCGTCAATTCCCTAGGAATAACCACCCAGCTTGGCACTGTAGAGCAACAAAAGCTTCAATAAAAGTCGTAGAAGAACAAATCCTGATACTCCAGTGTCAAACTAAAAAGTAAATAGCTATTTCTAGGATGCCTGCAACCTATTCTTATTACAGTTATGACCAAATGATACAGACGCAAGTGTTGCCTCCATCGCAAAACAACTAGGGATCCATCAAAAAAGGGGGACCATTACATAAACATCATTACACAATTCCTGCAAAGTCCATTGCAGAATAAAAAAAAAAACATAGTACAGTGCCTTGACTACAAAATTTAATTTTAAAAAAAAAAACTAAAACCTGATTTAGATTATAGAGTTAAATAGATATCACAAATCCAAATCTAAAACTTCTGAACATGATTCAGTCTTTTACTTCAAGAACGGGAAGTTATCTTCTTCTTTCACTTACTTCTGGTAAAAGACACGATCTTTTCTTACACAAACATGGTTAAAATCAGCAAGATTTCTTCTAAACTATGGAAGAAAAAGATACATATAAACTTGGTACTTTATTCCCAATGAAATCAGCTTAAATGAGATGGTAATAAATTAAGACAAACTGTGATACTACTGATACATTCTGTGACTAATGGCAATTTCATATATTATGAAATGATCATGTTAATAACGAGGAGATGAAAAAGAACGGAAACATATATTATACTTATAGAATGGCTCAATAGACCAAAAGGATCAAATAGAATCTAGCCATATGCATTTGACCGATCAGATACTTTAGTAAGCCAATCCATTCAAATAGGAATCTACTGGTGAAAGCTACTTGCTACTGCATAGAATTGAAAGTTGCTCAAATATAATGAATCAAGCAAAAGAAGAAACATAACTAAGGAGGCAGAGGAAACGGAATAGTGTGATAAATATTTTCTGGCTGTCAAAGCATGATTCTGGAAGCTGTAGCTCTTACTCTGTATAGATCCGCTGAACCAGCAACACGGGTTGCGAAATTTCCTTTCATGCCAGCATCGCCCTGTTTAATTTTATCAGGATAACGTATATTCAAGGAAATTTTCAATTAAACATAAACATTATAATCAAAGAAAATACTTGTGCAGAACCAAAAAGCTGAAACAGCTAAATGAGGTATGGAAATAACACACTTCCTCTCTTAATTTTCGGTTAATCCGATAATATCTACATTCTCACAACTTCTCCGGGACAGCTTCACATAATAAATAAACATCATCTCAGAATTGAGTCATTACATATTGAAAATGCTAGTGTAATTCAAAAATCGAAGTGGATATATGCCAAAGCTAGAACTTGGTGAATAAAACTCTAACTTTTTTTAAACACTTAAGATATGTTAGGAGTCAGATGTCCAACCACATGGAAAAAAAGCCTTTATTTTAAGGGAAAACATGGCAAATCCAATTACCCTTATCCTTTTATACAACGACACCATTTGGACTAGAAGATATCAATTACTAATGTGACTGGAAGTGCCTCATATTCAAATATACATCTCTGGAAATTCCATAAGTGTCCCAGACTATGCATAGGTACGTACTTGTTGAGGACCTGAGCATTACTGTATAAATGTACCAAATGTTGTTTTTCCAGCTGCTTTCTTTGGATAGGGGGCACAGTAGGATGGCACAAACAGTGCGAATTGGTATCATTGTAAAATCCTATATGGTGCTCTTAACAATTGAAAACTCGAAAAGAAATAGATACACCAATTAACTAAAGTTCCAGTTAACTATGAAAAATTGAACGGGACTTAAATAAAAGAATATATCTCCAGTAGAGTGAATTTTGCTCTCATTACTACTTATTGCCACCATCTGTTAACAACATAATTACAAAATCTAACAAGCAAACTGTAAATTTTGAGAAGAAGAAAGGCTTCTTATATTTCTGTGTAAGAAATATCCCATAAGCAAGGGAATTTATACAAAGCTCCTAAGGATAATAAAGGAAATAAAATAAATCTATACAATCAATCCAGCTATCAAATCAAATCGAATAAAATCAGATCTCCTAAATATAATCAAATCTCCTGAAATCATGCTAATCAACACTCCTAACTAAGAAGTCGAATAAGATGGAATGTCATCAATTGACTATGAAGATTACTGAGAGAATTAGAGCCAATGTGCTAAGAATCTATCTTATGCAGGTAAATTACAAGTTATAAACTCTGTATTGTTTTCACTATACAATTTCTGGCCCAGAGAGTGTGTTAAATGAAGTCGACAGGAAGTGCAGGGAGTTTCTATGGGAAGTACGGCAGAACAGAATAAGATTTCTCTAGTTGCTTGGAAGAAAATTTGTAAACGAAAAGCACAAGGGGGTTTGAATGTTAAAGGATGTAGGAACTGGAATATAGCAGCTGTGTGGAAATTGGTATGGATGATAATGGAGAAAGCAGATAACTTATGGGTGAAGTGGGTGCATGGTATATATATGAACAATGGTATAAATTTTTGGGAGCATCACGCACCGGTGGACAGTAGCTGGTACTGGAGAAGGCTCAACAAGGGATGACAAGTTGGTACCACAATGGGAAGTATTGCCTAACGGCTACTGGGCACTACTCTAATACAAAAGGTTATTTGAAACTAATAGGAGATGCTCCTAAGTTACAAGCAGATGGTTTAGTATGGAGCAGGGTAATGCTCCCAAAACACAGGTTCATAGTGTGGCTCGCTATGCAGGGGAGGCTTATGACAAAAGATAGACTACGAGATATGGGAATTCACTGCGACAATACAACATTTGGGATGTGTGATGATGGCAGTATTGAAACTACAGTGCACTTATTCCATGATTGTACCTGGTCTGTGCAGCTATGGACAATGGTAAAGCAATGGATTGGACTCAACATACAACTTCAAAAGGTGGTAGCTACCATGCATAACATTCAATAGGAAACATTGGAGAATCTTTAAGAAGAAGATCATGATAGCGATATATGGAGCGGGAATCTATCAAATATGGCAAGCACGAAACTCGAGACAATTCAAAGGACATAATTTAAATAATACTCCCTCCGTTTCATATTAAATGAGGTACTTTCCTTTTTAGTCTGTTCCAAAACAAATGACACATTTCTAAATTTGGAAATAATTCAACTTTAAACTCTTTCATTTTACCCATTTACCCTTAATGAGAAGCTTTTATAGCCATACAAATGTCATGGCCCCACAAACTTTTACACCTTAAGCTTTTAAGACCACAAATTTCAAAAGTCTTCTTTTTTCTTAAACTCCGTGCCGAGTCAAACTACCTCATATAATATGAAACGGAGGGAGTAGTTTAGTTTTGCAGCAAATACAAAGTGTACTAAGGAAGCAAGGAAAACTAGAGTTGTAATGGATAGGATATGTAGCTAGTAGTCGTGTTTTGTTTTGTTTGAGAGAGTGATCGAGACTCAATTACTGGTTCTATAACAGTATTGAGTGCTCTTTATGTAAACTGATGGTTGGTTGTCTGGTAATATATTCACATCTTATTACCAAAAAAAAAAAATACCCTAAATCAAATCTCCTTGAATCATGCTAATCGACACTACCCCTCAAGTTGGTGCAAAGATGTCGCACATGCCCAACTTGCAACTCAAAGTATGGAAAGTTCGCTTGTTGAGACCTTTGGTAAACACATCAGCTAGCTGTTTTTTCGATGGCTCATGAAACAAACTCAAGACAACAGTTTTAACTTTTTCTTTGATGAAGTGTCGATCGATTTCCACATGCTTTGTTCGGTCATGCTGGACTGGATTATGAGCTATACTGATGACAGCCTTATTGTCACAGTATAAGGAAAGTTTTCCCTTTTTCAAACAGTCCCAATTCCTGTAGTAGCTTTTGCAGCCAAAGCAGTTCGCAAACACCCCGGGCTATAGCTCTATATTCTGCCTCCACACTTAATCTAGCAACTATACTTTGCTTCTTGCTTCTCCAACTAACCAAGTTTCCTCCTACGAGCGTACAATAACCGGATGTTGATCTTCTGTCATCTAGAGATCCAGCCCAATCCGTGTCTGTAAAGGCTTCTATTTGAGGTGATCATGTTTGGAGAAAAGTAGATCTTTCCCTGAAGCAGACTTCAAGATACCGCAAAATGTGAAAGACAACTTGCATATGAGGATCTCGGGATCATGCATGAACTGACTCACCAGGCTAACTGAATAGGCTATGTTTGGTCTAGTGTGGGAGAGATAAATGAGTCTTCCAACCAACCTCTGATATGTCTCCTTATCAACTGACTCTCCAACTCCGATTTGTAACTTGTGATTGCTTTCAATGGTCGATTCTGCAGGTCTGCAACCTGTCATACCAGTTTCTTTCAAGAGATCCAGAATATACTTCCTTTGAGAAATAAAAATTCCTCTTTTGGATCTAGCAACCTCAATTCCCAAGAAGTATTGCAATTTTCCTAGATCCATGATCTCAAATTCATGTGCCAACAACTTCTTCAATCGGTCCATCTCCTCTTTGTCATAACCTGTCATTACTATGTCATCAACATGAACTATGAGAAGAGTGAGTTTGCCCGTTTGAGCGACCCCATTTTGTGCACTAGTGTAAGGACAACTAATCTGATGGACCATCCTATTGGACTCCAAATAAGTACCAAATCTTTTCTCCATGTATTCGCTGCCATTATCAGTTATCAAGATTTTTATTTTGGCATCAAACTGAGTACAAATCATCTTATGAAATGACTGAAAACAAGAGAAAACTTCACTTTTGGCTTTTAACAAACACACCCAAGTCATCCTTGAGCAGCAATCAATGAAAGTAACAAACCATCAACTACCAGGCAAAGAAACGGCGTGGGTAGGACCCTATACATCAGAATGAATAGTCATAAACGGAGTTCTGCTTCTATTATCACTCACATGATAAGAGTTTCTAGTATGCTTGACATATTCACACGCATCACAGAACAAAGATTCAAATCGAGTCCTTGAAAACAAATTGTGATATAACTTCTTCAAAACAAAGAATTATGGGCGTCCTAACCGTCTATGTCGTTGTATTATTTCTTGGTTGACATCTTTACTTTCCCCAAAAAAGGCTTGACAAGAGTTTTGAATTCCATCTAATATATACAAGTCATCACGCAATCTACCACTGCCGGTTTTTTTCCCTGTTTGAAGATCCTGAAAAATACATTGATCGAGAAAGAACTCGATTTTACAGTTTAGAGCTTTGGTGATGGCACTAACAGATAAAAGATTAACAGGGAACTCAGGGACATAGAGCACGATGATAGTTTAATATTAAGAGTACAAACGACAGAATCAGTTCCAGAGATAGGTGTTAAAGAACCATTGGCTACTTTAACATTATCTCTTTTGGGACACGGAGAATAGTTTTGAATGCCTTTAGAAGACCCTGTCATGTGTCTTAATTTGCACCAGAATCAACAATCCAAGAATTAAGGTGAGCAGCAAAGCCAATACATGATTGCACATGATTGGATGTGGCAACATTAGCGAAGTCAAGTTTGGCTAGGAGGCGACAGAGAAGCTTAATTTCATCCGAAGACAAGATTTCTCAGGAAACCGTCTCCTTCAATGTCTCCATATTTCTGCCCAAACAGAAGGAAATCTGAAAAAAATTGCTCAGAAATAATATGCTCGGTGGAAACCAAAATCTGTCTCAAGCGAACCTTAGCTCCGGTTAACGGAAAAATTAAAACGGGTAGGGATAGGCTCGGAATGTTCCAGTGACCCTAATATAAAAGAAAATTGCAAAAACAAAACTGACCAGAAGCAGTTTGTGTTGCGCATAGCCACCAAGAGAGAACACCCGATCTCTTTGATAAAAAGGAAACCCTAGTGGTGTGACGGAGATAACTCACCTCAAAAAGGCAGCAATGGCTCTGATACCATGTAGATTTTGAGAAGAAGAAAAGACTTCTTATATTTCTGTGTATTTTACATCCCATGAGCAAGGGAATTTATACAAAGCTCTTAATGCTAATAAAGGAAATAAAATAAATTTATACAATCAATTCATCTATCGAATCAAATCAAATAAAATTATATCTCCTAAATATAATTAAATCTCCTGAAATCATGCTAATCAACACTCCTAAATCAGATCTCCTTGAATCATGCTAATCAACACAAACTAAGCTTCAAAAACTACAAGCCTATCAATTTATGTCTAATCATGGATATATGCAATTTAAACCTCCTTATATCAGGAGAAAACATTTAGTCACTTTTCTGTTTTTTCCTGGTACTTCACTGGTTATATAATGGAAAAGTTTGCGCTGACAAACTTAATTCAATGAAATTTTCAATTCAGATTGTCTCCTAGAGTCACCTTTATAAATCTCCTAATGTCATCACGATACTTCCCGTTCCACTCAGCCCACCTGCATACATGTTTATCAAGATAAGTATCATGCTATGAAACTTCGCCAGAGAATGGAACATACATGTTTATCAACATGTTTATCAAAAACTAATTAAGCTGAAACATCTGTTAGCTGCCAAGAATGGAAATTTGCAGGGCCAGAACGGCTATCAGAAAAGGAAAGGTAAAGGTACCAGATGCTACTGCAAATAATTGTGACAAGCCAGGCCATATTTGAGACACTTGTTGGAAACTATACAGTTGACCACCATGCAAGAATAACAAATAACAACAACAACCATTATATGTTTCATGTGACTATTACTTTGACCAGAGCAGATACAAAGCACCAACAAACAGACTATTACTTTGACCATAGCAGATTACAGTGATTACCTAGAGTATCAAGCTATAGCACAACAATCACTTTTATCCGGCACCTCACAACAATACAAATGAGCTAGGAACGACCCGATGACCCTCTATTAGGAGATTCTTTTCTCCTGTTGTTAAAACATTTCACAATTGGGGCACCTTGCTGATCCTATAAAAAGCTCATCTTAATAAAACAATCATAAAAGGGGTCAAAAGATGATAAAAAGAAGCCGGCATCAGATAAAAAATTGGAGGGCTATTATTACAAGCTAACAGCCTCATTTCATCATCTCTAAAGTAATAACGTTTCACTTACACAGAATTTGGGATAGAATCACTCAATTCTACGTAGGTCCAATGAATTGTGATATGACTTCATTTTAAAATTTCAACTGTTAGGAGGGGCATCATATTTACTTATTTATTTTAGCTCTGCAATACGCTTCCGCACGTGCAGACTCAATTCTTTTATTACTCCTTTTTTTTCTTTTTGCCAAGCACGTGAAAATCCTTTGTGATAATAGGTGATGGTATGACGATCTAAAAACCTCTGCCTGCCCTCGCACCCTGTAGAATTGTATAACCACTTCAAGCTGTAAGTTGTCAGAGAGCCGACATATTTATTTATTTTATTTATTTTAGGCCTTCCACCAACTCAATGACTAAATCCAACCACACTAACCTTTGACATTCACACAATCTGATGCAATAGATGATTTTTCTTCTTTCTCATCAATAGGATAAATCAATAATATAAAACAATGTTCTTGTAGATGTTACCGGTCCCAGTTTGGAAACTTTCCAACAAGATAAAGGCCTCCACAATCCCATGGCTCAGCAATAATTTTGCACCTCGACAGTACACTATCTTTGGCAATCGCCTGCAGCATTAAAGAAAATTATCTGGGAAGTACAAGAGGTGATGATTATTACTGCTCTACAATCAAGAAAGAGGAAATCAAAAACATCCTCCTCAAGCCAGAACCTATAAATGGGGAATAATATGACTCTCAATCAACTTAAATCATTTTCGTGTGGAGAGCTTTTTTTCGTAAAAGTAGTACTCAGGTAAATTCCAAGTTACAAATGAAAATTATCTTTGCATCGCAATATATTTTTTTTTTTCTTGATAGTTGGCATTGCACTAAATTGTTTTATGAACTTTTAATCTTTGAACATCAATGTATACTTAAAACTATGGGCATCTAAGAAAAGATGACAGAATTACTGTTCAATGCTATTGTCGGTTCACTGATAGTTTAACTCTTCCAAGTCAAACATTTGTTGACAGCAAGGATATTTATGAACCTTTAACTCTCATAGATTAACAGGAACACGGTGCCATTGGCTTAGCGTGCCTACACTTATGCTAAATCACCCATTAAAATCTGAGGTAAGAATGAGCATAATATCGTGAATGTAGCAAGAAATCCTGCTCACTCAGGAAAAACTCAGTCCTGTAATGGCTTTTTAAACAGTTATTTTAGTGTGATTGATCTAACACTCATTTCAAGAATTTTAAGTTCTTTATCTTCAAAAGGCCCACAAAATAAGTCTACGATCTCAGTAGCAAATACTCCCTCCATTTCAATTTATGTGACACACTTTTCTTATTAGTCCATTTCAATAAAATAGAATTTAACTTTGAACTTTTTATTTTACTCTTAAAAATAGAAGTTTTTATAGTCACATAAATGTTATGACCCCGCAAAGTTTTTACCTTTTAAGCTTTTAAGACCACAAGTACCAAAACTCATTTTTTTTCTTGAACTCTGTGCCGAGTCAAACTACGTCACATAAATGAAGCAGAGGGAGTAAAAAAGATTCATTATTTCAAGAACAAATATCTGCCTGCATTAACCTATTATTATTAATATTGCATCACTTCATTCAAGTATGTAGCATCTTGTTCATTCACAAGCAAGAATGCACCATTTCATCATATTTCAGCCTTCTCTGCATTTATCAGTCATCCTTTTTTAAACACATGAAAAGTTGGAGCTGAGTGTGATAAAGATGAAATTCTAAGTCAAATGGAAAATCAAAGAAGCAAGAAAGAAGATAAAACAAGAAGAAAAAGGTGATGATAGAGAAGGGTTGAGGTGAACATGAAAATTGCGAATGCCAGTGGAATATTAGTCACTTCACTATCAACTTATTATGTTGCTTTCCATCGCACAGAATTTCTTTTTGATGCACCATTATGAAAAAAGGTATATAAATGCTTCACCTTCACAAGGGGGGGAGCATTAATGGGAGTACCATCTGTCCCTCGGCAAAGAACACTAGCAAGATCAAAGCGAAATCCATCGACATGATACTCGGTGACCCTTTAGTTGCTCCAGCACAAGGTAGAAGAGAATATCAAATGGGAAAAAGGTTAGTTAATTTAATTGAGAATCCAACCAAATCATCCGGGGTAAGATGCAAAATGTTCATTCTGTCTGTAATAACTTCAATTAAGTATTCGCATTGCAGATATGAACAAGCATATGGAGAGACCGTTGAAAACAGAGGAGGAAAAGAGAACGATAAGCCTGGACAAAGTATTCCATTATCAAATCCAATAGGAGCCAACATAGTGAATTTTGTGAACATATCAGCATTCCAAGAAACTTCTAACCATTCAAGAAAGCATATATTTCAACAATGTCACCTGACCAACCTGCAAGACTGCTTACACCATTGTGTGTACATAACCAAGTAAAGAGTCGGTTAAGTGTTCAAGGCTATGTCATAACAGATCCAGAAACTTGCCCCATATCGACTTCCAGATCATAGATGCTCTAGTAAATAACCGAAGAAAAAAGATATATGGGATAGAAGAAAAACAAACCAACCATTGAAATATGTCTCTATCTGACTATCTCTAACATTCACTAGTTATTCGACTGCTAGTGGGTCTCTTTGTATGTGTCACCTGGAAAGAGGTTCCACTGGTTATTATTTTCATCAAAAGAAAAAATAAAAAATAAAAAGAGGACTCAATGAACATAGTTTGCTAGACACTAAGTATTTCACATGGGAACGTACAATTCTTGTGGAACCCATCACAAAAACCATTGGGAATACGGCAAAGCGGACAGTAGAGATGTCAGTGACACACTTTATGCACATTGAACAAGTACATAGAATTTTGACATTTGCAAGTACCTTTCATGTGTTGGGCAAAAAACTGAAGACAAAATCACATACCTTCGGGAAAAGCTTCGTTTAGTTGTGACTAAAATAATGATATATTGATACCAATTAGTGAGTAATTAACTGTAAAAATGCAGCTAACTCCAAAGCAGACAACCAGAAAGTGAAAGGAAATGAATGTACCAGTGTCTTAAGCTTTCAAGTATAAGTTCCATGACTACAGGGTGGTTGCAGTTAAAAGTATTTCCTGGAAAGACCAAAGTATTGCATCTCAGTGCTCTTATGAAGGCAAAAGAAAGAAAACGCAATAAGAGAATCATGTGCAACTGTATGCATCAGAACTTCAATCACTCTTATAAATCTAGGAAACTCAGACTAGCAACAGATGAGCATGAAGTAAAATGAACATTAGTAGTTAGACCTTTACATCTTTTTCCTTCCTAGGTTCAACTCTATAACTATCCCTTTTGAAAAGGGAAGAACAATGTGAAATCATAAGAAGAGCTCAACAATGAGAAAACTAAGTTTTTTGGTTGGTGGAAAGGGAACAAAACACCACTGTAGCTTAACCCAAAATGCAATTGTCTAAAGGTAGTTTGTACTATAATCTAAGAACTCTTCATAACGAGAAAAGCCTTCTTAAGTTTAGAGGACTTTCGAGTAAATTATTTATGAGAAATATTTACAATGTTTTTTATGCATTAAAGTACAACAACAAACCCAGTATAATCCCACATGTGGGGTCTGAGGAGGGAAAATAGTATGCAGACCTTACCCACTGTAGGGAGACTATTTCCAATAGACTCTCGGCACAAGGAAAAATGAGAAAAGAGCAGTAACAACAAGAAATGACGAGAACAAAATAAAAGAAAATAAGGGGAAAGAAACAACATGAAAATAGAAATCTACAATATTAGAATACAAGACTGCTACTAATAACACTGGAAATGTCTGGAAACCCGCACCACTACCTATTAACCTACAACCTTAATCTTCAACCTCCACACCTTCCTATTAAGGGTCATGTCCTCGGTCAGCTGAAGCAAAGCCATTATCACCTCTCCCCAATACTTTTTTAGCCTACCTCTACCTCTTCTAAAACCTCCTACTGACAACCTCTCATACCTCCTTACCGGGGCATCTGCGCTTTTCCTCTTCACATGCCAAAACCATCTAAGTCTCGCTTACCGCATTTTGTCCTCCATGCAGGCCACTCCTACCTTGGCCTGAATATCCTCATTCTTAATCTTATCAATCCTGGTATGCCTGCACATCCATCTCAACCTCCTCATTTCTACTACTTTCATTTTGTGGACATGAGAATTCTTGACTAGCCAACACTCTGCCCCATACAACATAGTCGGTCTCACTAATACTATATAGAACTTACCTTTAAGTTTAGGAGACACATTCTTATCGCATAAGACACCGGATGCGAGCCTCCATTTTACCCACCCCGCACCAAAACGATGCGTAACATCCTCATCAATCTCTGCATTACCTTGGATCTAGACCCTAGGTACTTGAAACTATCTTTCTTGGGTATGATTTGTGTATCAAGCCTCACGTCAGTTAATTCTTCACTAGTCCCATCACTGAACTTTTTATGCAGTAAAGTAAGAGTACTAATAGAATTTCTGAAACACATTTCTTTTTTGCTGACTTATATTTGTCTACATCTAGTTGAGTAAATCAAAAACCACAAAGGGTAATAATCTTTACTACTTTTACCTATCAAATAAATAATTTAGACTACGTTTGTATCATGTTCCATTATGACATTCCCAAAATTGATACCTCAGAAACTATGCTTCATGTTAAATTGTTAACAATCTTAGATGACCAATGAAAATCCTGAAGACAGGATTATAGAGATATGCTCAAAACAACCCTGCAGACTTTCCTTCTATTTAAGTCGTAAAGTTTATGGTTGAATTACCACATCCAGAGAAGTTCAGCAGCTGACCATTATTGTTCAAATCCACCATGTAATAAACCTGCAAATTGTCAAGGCAAGGAATATTGTCTAAGAGAGGGTGGGGAGAGAGAAGAAGCTTTTGTAAAAATGGAAAAAAGAAACTAATATTAAGGCCATCCGATATAAATAGTTTAATTTAGAACTTAATAAAGTAAAATTGGTCTCATCTGGTTTTGCAGGAGACAACGCATTATAGAGAAAAACATAATGAGTTAAATCCATCTGCAATGGGTTTGATGAAGCTCTTACTGAGAAGGTTTATAGGAGAGGAAGGGGGAAAAGCAGCAAGTTCGCATTATAACTATATATGATGGTCGATCATTCACTCCGTATTAAGCGGCAGAACAGAGAGTATAAACAACTGTCAATTGTTGATTGCCTTAATTATTAGGAAAGATTTGATTCTGTTGATTAGCTTTATTAGGAAAGATTTGATTCTAATTTATATTTGATTTTTTTCTGATTGATTGTAATTTATTCCCTTCCTAAAATAGTCATAGGACCTAGTGTACAAATACATTTGCTTAGGGATGTAAGAAACAGACAGAAATACAAAATAATTTTTATTCTTCTTAAAATCTACATGGTATTAGAGCCATTGCTGCCTTTTTGAGGTGAGTTATCTCCTTCGCAGCACTAGGTTTCCGTTTTTACCAAAGAGGTTGAGTTTTCTCTCTCTTGGTGGTTGTCCGCAATACAATTCCTTCTGGTAAGTTTTTTGTTGGAATTTTCTTTTCTGTTGGGGTCGCTGGAACATACCGAGCCTATTCTTGCAATTTTGATTTTTCCGTTCACCGAAGTTAAGGTTCCGTCGAGACAGATTTGGTTTCCTGCGAGGCAGATTATTTTAGAGCAATTTTATTCAAATTTCTCTCCGAATAGGCAGAAAATATAGAGAGAATCAAGGAAACGATTTCTAGAAAAATCTTGTCTTCGGATGAAATTCAGCTTCTCCACCTCCTAGCCAAACTTGGCTCCGCTAATGTTGCCACATCCAATTATGTGCAATTAGTTACTGCCTTTGCTACTCACCTTAATTCTTGGATTGTTAATTCTAGTGCAAATAGACATATGACAGGCTCTTCTAAAGGCATTAACAACTATTCTCCGTGTCCTAAAGCTAAAGGAGATACTGTTAAAATAGCCAATAGTTCTTAAACACCTATCTCTAGAACAGGTTCTATCGTTTGTACTCCTAATATTAAACTATCATCCGTGCTCTAACTCCCTGAGTTCCCTGTCAATCTTTTATCTGTTCGTGCCATCACCAAAGCTCTAAACTGTAAATCGAGTTCTTTCCCGATCATTGTATTTTTCAGGATCTTCAAACAGGGAAAAAGACTGGCAGTGGTAGATTGCGTGATGACTTGTATATATTAGATGGAATTCAAAACTCTTGTCAAACCTTTTTTGGGGACAGTAAGGATGTCAACCAAGAAATAATACAACGGCACAAACGGTTAGGACACCCATCATTCTTTGCTTTGAAGAAGGTATATCTCAATTTGTTTTCAAATTTGAATCTTTGTTCTGTGATGCGTGTGAATATGCCAAGCAAACTAGAAACTCTTATCCTGTGAGTGATAATAGAAGCACAACTCCGTTTATGACTATTCATTCTGATGTATGGGGTCCTACCCAAACTGTTTCTTTGTCTGGTAGTCGATTTGTTACTTTCATTGATTGCTACACTAGGATGACTTGGGTATATTTGTTAAAAGCCAAAAGTGACGTTTTCTCTTGTTTTCAATCATTTCATAAGATGATTGGTACTCAGTTTGATGCCAAAATAAAAATCTTGAGAACTAACAATGACAACGAATACATGGATAAAAGATTTGGTGCTTATTTGGAGTCCAATCAGATAGTCCATCACAGTAGTTGTCCTACCACTGGTGCACAAAATGGGGTTGCTAAAAGAAAAAATAGTCATTTGTTAGAAGTAGCAAAATCTCTTATATTCACCATGCATCTACCAAAACCTTACAGGGGATGCTATTCTAGTGGTTGCCTATCTTATCAACAGAATGCCACTTAAAACCCTCGATTTTCAAAGTCATCTATAAGCTTTAAAGGGTGAGAATGAATATGTTGTTCCTCCAAAGGTGTTTGGGTGTGTTTGCTTTGTCCACACTAGGAATTTTGGGAAACTGGATCCTAGAGCTATAAAGCGCGTTTTATCGGGTATTCTCAAACACAGAAAGGTTACAAATGTTATCATCCTCCCTAAAGGAGATCTTTTGTTAGCATGGATGTTAGCTTTCGAGAATTTGAGCCCTCAGTATTACCTCATCACCTCTTCGGGGAGAGGTGTAAGGAGGAAGAGGTGATTCTACCTAGTTCCAGTATTGGACATCTTGATGATATCATCACAAGGGAAGGTGAAATTGGAGAAAGAATTCAGGCGGAAACAATTGGGTGTTTGGATAGGCCTGATTTGAAAACTTACTGAAGGAGATAGAGCAAAAGAAGCCATAATGCAATCTACCGAAGTTGAACATTCTTCTAATTGTGAGTTATCTATATTTCCTAATCAGTTAGATGTGCCTATTACTCACAGAGAAGGAGTCGAATCTTGCACCACCAAACACCCTTTATCTAATTTTGTCTCCTATAGTTCTTTGTATCCCTCCTATAGAGCCTATGCCTTGTCTATTTCTTCTGTGTCTATTCCCCAAAATTGAAGAAATTTTTTGCAAATCCTAAATGGAAGCAAGCTATGATTAAAGAAATGAAGGCCTTGTCAAAAAAAGAGACTTGAGAACTTGTCACTTCACCACCAGACAAGAAGTTGGTTGGCTGCAAATGGGTCTTCACTGTGAAGCACAAAACTGATGGTTCGATTGAAAGATTCAAAGCAAGATTGGTGGCTAAGTGATTCACTCAAACTTATGGAGCGAATTATCAAGAGACATTTACCCCTGTTGCAAAAATGAACACTATCAGGATTCTTTTATCTTGTGCGGCTAATCTTGATTGGGACTTACAACAGTTTGATGTGAAGAATACATTTATTCACAGAGACTTAGCAGAAGAGGTATATATAGAGATTCCTCCTAGATTTGATACTAAACAAAGTCGAGGAAAGGTGTGCAAACTGAACAAAGCCCTGTACGGAATGAAGCAACCCCCCTAGAGCTTGGTTGACAGATTATGCAAAGCAATGATCTCCTTCAACTACTAACAAAGAAATGTTGATCATACTCTCTTCATAAGACATCACAAGGGTAAACTCACTCTTCACATAGTTTATGTTGATGACATAGTAATGACAGAAGATGATACAGACAGATGACCCGATTGAAGAAGCTATTAGCACAAGAATTTGAGATCAAGGATCTAGGAAAATTGCAGTACTTCCTGGGAATTAAGGTTGCTAGATCAAAAAGGGGAATCTTAATTTCTCAAAGTAAAGTATATTTTGGATCTCTTGAAAGAATCTGCTATGACAAGTTGCAAACCAGCAGAATCGCCCGTTGAAAGTAATCACAAGCAACAAATAGGAGTTGGAGAGCCAGTTGATTAGAAGAGGTAACAGAGATTGGTTGGTAGACATTTATCTCTCTCATACTAGACCTGACAGCTGACATAGCCTATTCAGTCAGCTTGGTGAATCAGTTTATACATGATCCTGAGATCCTCATATGCAAGTTGTCTTTCACATTTGCAGTATCTGAAGTCTGCTCCACGCAAAGGTCTGCTTTTCTCCAAACATGGTCACCTTCAGGTAGAAACCTATACAGATGCGGATTGGGCTGGATCTTTAGATGATAGAAGATCTACATCCGGTTATCATACACGCGTAGGAGGGAATTTGGTTACTTAGAGAAGCAAGAAGCAAAGTGTAGTTGCTAGATCAAGTGCGAAAGTAGAATATAGAGCTATGGCCTAGGGTGTCTAGGAACTTCTTTGGTTACTAAAGTTACTAGAGGAATTGAGACTCTTAGAAGTGGAAACTTTCCTTATATTGTGAGAACAAAGCTGCCATCAGCATAGCTCATAATCCAGTCCAACATGACTGAACAAAGCATGTTGAAATTGATCGACACTTCATCAAAGAAAAAGTTATGAGTGGTGTCTTGAACTTGTTTCATGTGTCACCAGAAAAGCAGCTAGCTGATGTGTACCAAAGATCTCAACAAACGAACTTTTTATACAATGGTTTGCAAGTTGGGCATGTGCGACATCTTTACACCAAATTGAGGGAGAGTGTTGATTGCCTTAATTATTAGGAAAGATTTGATTATGTTGATTGGCTTAATTATTAGGAAAGATTCGATTATGTTGATTGGCTTAATTATTAGGAAAGATTTGATTCTAATTGAGATTTGATTTTATTCTGATTGATTGTAATTTATTTCCCTACCTAAGATAGTCATAGGACCTAGTGTATAAATACCTTTGCTTAGGGATGTAAGAAACACACATAAATACAAGAAGTCTTTTCTTATTCTTAAAATCTACACAAATTCCATAATCGAAGGCTACTCGAGTTGAACAGTTCTGTGAAGTTACAAAAATAACTATTCTTGCAAAACAGTTAATGCATCTACCAAGACACATCTCAAACATGATGATGAGTATTGAAACCGTTATCTATTAACAGACACAATAACCCCATGAACCTACTATCAAAACGAATGTAGATGTTTCCCTAAGCATAGTAATTTGCTGAGGTACATTACATGCAATGAAAATCTAATTCATAACTTTATTGACCAAGACCTATTACATTGGATAGTTCCTTTACCTTGTTGTCTATTCCTCGGAATGAGGTGGTATACGGGTTTTTGTCATCAGCTTCATTAGTGTGATTATAAACAACATCTAAAATGACCTGTAGAATGAAAAGCCATGAGAAAGAGAAACCAGTATCATTAAATAGACAGTTGAAAAGGTAGAGGAGACATTATGGGTATGTGTAGCAAGCTCTTTAAAGACCAAGCTGATACAAGGCGAACCTCAATTCCAGCATCATGCAAGGCCTTGACCATTTGTTTGAACTCCCGAGAAGCACTGACGGGTCCCCCAGCACAACTTGCATATCGACTCATTGGAGCAAAAAAATTTATTGTTGAGTAACCCCACGTATTGATCTAAAGTTAACATGAGTTCAAAAGTCTTCAGACAAACCAAGAGCGTTCTGCCCCTTTAATTAGCCATAGTAGTCAATGAAGAATTTGAATACATGCACATCAAACAGATACTCACAGCATCTTTTCATCAAGTTTCCAGCAATGAAGGTAGCATACAACAAAGTAGATGGGAAGAAGAAAAAGGATTATCGAAATAAAGTATTCTTAAGTCAACAATTGAACTTTGCACTTTGACTTGGCACAGTTATTATGGTCTAATCTTGGGCATTATGAGTTTGATGGGGACAGAAAGTGTAAACGGTTGCTCACTTGCTGTTAATACCTCAAATAAATGATAAAATTGATGCAGTTACTTCTAATATATATAGTAAAAGTTGTTGAGCTTATTTCAACCAGCCACTTTAAGAGTCTTTTAGTCACATTTGAAAGAATCTGCATTCTAGTGAATCGTTGCTCAATAAAAGTAGAATACTAATTCTCCTTTACCATTCAAAGCATTGGTATTTTACTGATGCGTTATGCCATAACAATGACAGAGTTGTGAACATCAGAGGAAGCACAACGTGCATGCTCACATACAAAAACAATTAACAGGTTTTATGAGGATTTATCATGAATTTGCAAATTTTATACTAGCTGCCAAGCTACCTCAATCCTCCTCCTTTATCCGGGCTTGGGACCGGCAATGTGAGCAAGCTCACACCGGCAACAGGTATGAAAGAATAAATATCATAAAGTAGCTTCAGAAATCACTAGGAAAGAATAAGTCAAGGACAGTTATAAAGCATAAAGTAAGTTTACCATGTGATCTCTCGGATTAGGTCGCCTTTGCAACTCCAATTCATCAAACTCAAAGACAGGCAATAATTCTACTGCATTAACACCAAGCTCCAGAAGATGCGGTATCTACACTTATAGATGAATGAATGTCAGATACCTAAAGGAATAAAATAAGTTTAAAATTTCTGTAAGTGATTAATAGCCTGTTTGGCCAAGCTTCTCAAAACCCAAAAGCACTTTTTCTTCAAAAAAATACTTTTTTTTTTTAAAGTTGAAGTGTTTGGCCAAGCTTTTAGAAGAAAAAAAAGTGCTTCTGAGGAGAAGCAGAAGCAGTTTTGGAGAAGCAAAAAAAGTAGCTTCTCCCCAAAAACGCTTTTTTGAAAAGCACTTTTGAAACAAATACATTTAGAACTACTTTTTAAAAGCTTGGCCGAACACTAATTGCTGCTCAGAAGTGCTTTTCAAATTAATTAGGCAAACATAAACTGCTTCTCATCAAAAGTACTTTTGAGAAAAGCACTTTTGAAAAAAGAAAAAAAAACACTTCTCAAATAAGCTGATTTTTGAAGCTTGGCCAAACAGGCTAATAATACATGATGAAAGAATCAAAGACATCCAACATAAGCAAAAGGACCAAAGAACATAACAACAATTTTAACATTGAAACTTTAACTCGTAGTATAATGGTACTGCTATTAAGGCAGATAAACCAAACTTTAACGACCAATCAAATGTTTGGTAAAAGTAAACAAACTCGTAGAAATTGAAAGTACCTTTTCAATCACACCAAGGTAGCTTCCCTGTTGATCTGGATCCAAACCACTTGATTCATCAGCAGTAAAAGCACGGACATTCATCTCATATATAACAAGATCTTTCTGCCAAAAGAAAAAGGATATGCATTAAGAGTAAATGTATAGCAGATCTAAAGCATACAGCTCAACTACCAAAGAAGCAACAACATTACTAAAGGAGAATAAGCTGAAACTCCTCTTACTTGAAATAACAAGACCAAGTGACAGAATCTGAGAACTTAATAACGACAGTTCTGTCATCTTAGTCATAGCTCATAAGTGAATTAGCTGAAGATACAAGCGAATTATCTTTTGATTTGCACAAGTCAAGAAAGTCATTCAAGTAATTCTTCTCAACCTACCTCGGGTATATTTGGAAGCTTGTAACTTTCTCCCCAATCAAAAGGCAAGGTATTGAAATCGTAAGTTCCAAAAAAACTACATATTTTGTTGCTAACATCTCCAAAAGCTCGCCGACCTTCAATTAGTTTCGCGTAAGGATCAATCAAAACAATGCTATTGTCAAATCGATGCCCTTCATGCCAACTTTGAGGACCATCAATGCGATAACCATAGAGGACGTCGCCACGAGGCAACTCCTGCAGATAATGGAGAAAAGAAGATACAATGAGAAAAGGTAACAGAAAGGACAATAATAGCATAAGTCAATACTAACGACTAAAAACATAGCAGCATAAACTGTGACTAAAATAGAAACCGCGGAAAGGCCGGCTGATATATCCCCTCAGTACAAGGTTCCTGTAGTACAAAAACCTGTGAGACTATAGATTCATTCAAGGTCATTGAGAATATGAAATTGATAGGAAAACATTTGAGAACACGAAATTGATAGAAACTGGTGAATGTTAAACTTGAAGATACTTGAGGATTTGAACTAGTTCGAAGTCCAATATAAGCAAAAATACTAGTGAAATAATTGGAAAAGAAAAAATAGAAAGATCATAATTGAGGATATTTATGTGGTAAGGAGCAAAGCTGTGTACAAAAAAGGTGCAAGAGAAATGGATGAGATGGTGACACGAGTAGATAACTTTGCAGTTATCCTGATAGTTTACATTACTTCTCTTTCACCCTAATTTGTTCCCTTCTATTTAATCCTTTCATATTAGCAAGATCTGTAACTCCTTTTCATCTATCTGAAGTGAACTTTCCTCCAGTATGGAAAGAAAGTTTGAGTAGTGTCTGTGATTTCCTAAGCTGGGATCTTCTCAGTAAAAGATGGAACGGTCGACAAAGAATATAATATGTGGAAAACATGTCAGGTCAAGTCAAAGCACAGTACCATTCACTCTCCAAATATATGCGAGGCTATTTGAATTTCTAGGACAACATAACTCTTCAGATTAGATTTGACATTGATTTAATTTGAAAGTTAATCTAAGAGAATAAAAGAACTACATAACGTTAGATAGTTATGTGTAAATAGTCCTAGTCCTATATGTAGTAAGAGTAGAATGTCCTAGTCCCATATGTAGTAGGAGTAGAATATGTCCTAGTCCCATATGTAGTAGGAGTGGAATATGTCCTAATCTCATATGTAGTAGGAGTATAATATGTATTACATATAGGGCTCATTGTATCATTGTTAAAAAATAGATTTTTCTCCTCTGCATTCTCACATGGTATCAGAGCTTTAGTAAGAAAATTATCCATGTGCGTCATTCCAGCGATATCCAGGAAGAAAGATCTCATCGCCGTGCAATTTTCCGACAACTTCGTCTTGTTCTCAGGGTTCATCACTTCTACAGTGGTACTGTGCATATACCAGTACCACCATCAGATCTGAAACCCTTGTGCGACCAAACCCCACAAATCCCAGTCAATTCAAAACCAAAAAATCAGTCACCGTACGTCTATCGGGTTGACGACTCAAGGTTGATTTGAATTATCTCTTCATCAGTAAGTCCTGTGCGAAAACCAACACTACCATCTTGTTTAGAAAAGTCAGGCGACCAAACCCCAGTCAATCGCTCCGGCAGAAAGTCCCTCACGTGCCTCCAGAACTAGGGTTCAGGCGAGGGCATCTAACACAAGCGCCAGTGCGTGGAGCACTTTCCAGCCATAAATTTCAAAAAAAAATTTAGAATAGTTGTTTCATGTGGTGATTCAGAGTCCCTAGTACAATTTCCTACTAATTCCGAGAATTTGGAATTTTCCGGCGAGCTACGGTAACCTTTCCGGCGCGTGTGAGCCATTCCTGTCACTTTTTAACAAAACTTTTTCAGTACTCCTCCAGTGATTCCAAGCCTACTCATATAAATTACATCAAATTCTCACTACTTTTATTTTTTTCGGCATCAATAGTAATTTTCCGACGTGAACAGTAATTTCCGGAAATGTTTCTGATTTCTAGTAGTGTTTTAGAACCTATTTTGTAGTGTGGAATTTGGCTTAGTCTCACTATTTTCAAATTTTTCCGGCGACTTTTCGGCCAACTTCTGTTTATCAGCAACCACCTGGTTTTGTTGTTCAAGGGGAGTCTAGTGGCCTTGTATGATCAGCTTGCAGATATTTTCACCAAGTCCCTTACTGGTCCTCGTATTAGTTACATATGTAACAAGCTCGGTACATATGATTTGCATGCACCAGCTTAAGGAGGAGATTTAGATAGTTATACGTAAATAGTCCTAGTCACATATGTAGTAGGAGTAGAATGCCCTAGTCCAATATGTAGTACGAGAAGAATATGCCCTAGTCCCATATGTAGTAGGAGTATAATATGGATTATATATAGGGCACATTGTATCATTGTTAAAAAAAATAAAATCATACTCAAATTATCATGGCCAAATAATTTGGTGAAAATTAAAAAATAGATTTTTCTCCCGTGCATTCTCATGCAGGAAAATAAAATCATACTCAAATTATCATGGCCAAATAATTTGGTGAAAGTTCAGAAGTCTAACCTCAATATGTTTACTTTACATTGAAACTATGGACCCATTAGAATACTAATCAAACAAAGAGATCAATCATTTGACACTGCCCAAAATAGGGAGCAGGTTACCAAGATAGCAACAAGGGAGTAGAAAGTGGCCAACCAACATGATGTGACTAAACTACGGTATCACAGGCCAGAATGCAATCTTCGATGGTGACTGAGTGAATATGTAATGAAGGTACATAAAACAGTTAAGTTACTACCTTAATGCATATGTGCCATATGTTCACCGTGCGATTCTTCTGCGGGTCCAGCGCTAATTCAATCATTCCATCACTGTCAGGCATTCCACAGAAGTACATTGGCTCAGCATGCTTTAAGCAGATATACAAATGAGAAGAGAAAATTTGAGTATGACCCCACAAGGGCATATAGTTTTTGCCTTGGCAAGATGCTTGAACGGGTAGTTTCAAACTAGTTCACTGTCTTTGTAAGTGCATGTCTGTATGATACTTTATCCTGTGTATCACCTCATTTGGACAATTATTACACAGTAAATGCATAATGGAATCTCTAGGTGATACGATGTCAACTACTACATAAGAAAATGTCACGCCGGCTTCACCAGAAAACACAACAGCGTTTTCATTAACATGCTTCTAAGTTGAGACTCGTGCAGGAATATCCACTTTGAATTTTAAAGAGAAGGTCCAAAAACATATTTATTCTGATACACACGGTCCTCCATCTCTAAGATGGAAGTGTTGTACATATTGTTTACAATGTCTATAAGTTGCTTTACACTTGCTGTAATGCACCCCCCCCCCCCCCCTGCTTTACAATGTCTTTATGATGAATTTCTCCATATCTATGGAGTAGTTCTTCCCTAGGGTTTTGACGGATATGGTGTTTTGATTGATATTTGAGGATTTATCAAAATATAGACTATGAATAACTACGCAAACCAGTTGCTGGACAACGAAGACATTAGAACATATTACATCTAAACAAAATTTAATAGGCAGGAATACCGATCGAAGAACTAAACAGCTAGAATATGCAACTAAGACTAGAATTGAATTATCGAAGAAAACAAAATACACAATCCAAAAGCATGATTTCAGCCTAACCTCTTCGGAAGAATTACACAAAGTGTAACTGCAGAAGCATGCTGAGAAAAAATTGCAAAATTTATTCCACTTTCAATTTCTGATACTCCAAGTGGATGAGCAAGACCAGGGGTAACTTCAAATGAAGGGAAAGTCTCCAGCATTTGAGGAGCTTCTTCCTAAAATCATGAGCACATTAAAGAAATCAAATCATTAGTTTTCCATATAACAGTAGCAATAGTTGTTCGCTTTCAAGAACAAAGGTCAGTCAAAACATGAAACAAACAAAAGAAAGCAAAATTAGCAGTCGTTTGGTTTACAAAATTAGGATAAGTTAGGATTATCCCATCTGCATCGTATAAGAAGATCATATGTGAGATAAGAGCAATTGGCTCCATCAATTCCTATATCACTCTATTAATGTCACCAGAAAAAGTGAACATCACAAAAAAGATAATTTTCACAATGTGTCTAGGTAGAATTGTGATTTCAGCTAGTACCTAGTACTGGTCAAATGCCGTGAAGCGTACTATTTCTGACAATGGATATCTTCTGATTTAGTCTGATTTGGAATGTGGCATGTTAAAGTAGGTGCTCATACCACTTTCTGAAACAAAGCACTAGCATAGATCTCGGTGACCCAACTAAGTCATTAAACATGTCCTCCTAGTTTGCGCATGATGAAAGAAAACGGTGAAGACTGTAATTCAGCATATCAGATTCCCAAATAGAAAAATCTCAAGGAATTGTACAGCACCCAGAAAACCATGTAATAAGAAGGATTTGCCTACAGACTTTTTGTTCACTGGAAAAGAGAAGTGCATGAAAATCAAATCTGTTGACTTCACAGATGGTTAGAAGGGAAGCTGTAGGAATCAAACCTCATATGTTACATCAATACCACATACATTGATCTTTTTTGATGAACTCCTCCTTTTTTTTTTAAATAGCAAGTGTTAATTTTCTTTTAATGCAATTTTAGGAATACATTTTCTTATAACTTTCTTTGCAAACAAACGGAATCTATTTCATGCTTAGCAAGTGTTAATATCTTTTACTTCAATTTTCTAGGAATATATTTGCTCATAACTTTCCTTGCAATCAAATAGTGAAAAATGTGCATTTCATGCTTAGAATTCCAACTTCAGAAGCTTACACAGGATATTTTATGCTCAGCAAGTAAAGAATTTGCAAAAGTTTCTTACGCCTTAAACAAACTTTAATACCAATTCATATTTCATCTCATGAACATTCCTAGCAGGGGCGGCCCGACGAATTTTGTGGCCTAAAGCCAAGGAGCCTTAAATTTTTAATTTTTTTTTATTATTTATTTGAAGTCTATTTATTTTAGCTTTTCTTAGATACAAAGTTATTAATAATTTTCTTATAATCAATAACTCCTAATAAGTATTTCCCAATTGACAATATAACTAATCCATTGAACCTTTCTTGTGACATTATTGTTCTTAGGTAAGATTTTATCAATTTTAATTTTGAAAACTTCTTTCCGCTGAAGCAACGGTAACATGAGTTATGAACATTATTTCATAAGCAATTTAGGCATTTGGAAAAGAATTTTATTTGATTAAGTGTATCATTTAAACTGCTATCTTCTAATTGTACTATTTTCCTTAATACTTTTAATTCAGAAAATAAATCTAAACCATCAATATCAAATTGATTATTATGCTTTAAGGAACATTCAAGATTAAGGCAATATTTTTTCAAATTTCCAACATCTTGATCTTAGTTTTTACTTTTTACTGCCAAATAGAAAACCAAAAATATTTTCATATACTTCGAATTGTTCAAATCTATTTTGAAGTGAAAAAATAGCCTTGTCTATTATGTATAAAAGTAATCAACTCTAAAGGACTCTTCGAAAGATTGAGATTTTATAATCAACATTCGCATCAAAGTGTTACTTCCTATATATCACATGTTTCTTACGAAATTCAGGTTCGATATTCATTTCAAGTGCAATTTCCTTGGTAGAAATCATAACAGTTGCAAATCCTTCTTCTCTATATTTGTTGAAGAAAGAAATCAAACTTTTTCACTTTACAGAACTCTTCTTTAAGCTTATACAGAGTTTATTAGATACAACAAAAAATGCCCCCCCCCCCCACCCCCACACACACAAATATGGAGCCTAAAGCGATTTCTTTACTTGCTTTATGGAAGGGCCGCCCCTGATTCCTAGTGTATATTCGCTCTTAAGAGGCCATTTGGATAGCCCAATGTACAGAAATCTCATTTCCACGTCTACACAGGAACCAAGATCAATTTAAAACATCTAAAACTTGATAGGTGATAAATTGGAGAACCACCATTAGATCTTTCAACATTATTCATTAAACAAATGACATCTTTAATTCCCAACAGCAAAGACATACGTAAATAAGCACATAAAAGTATTAGTCTTTTAGCAAAGAAGGAATTCAAATTCTCCAAGCAACAATGTACACATATACACATATAAAGAGAGAAATGCAAGTACCTCGATCACACGCTGCTCTTCAGCACGACGAGCATAGACCTTAGCAGGTCTAATCTTGTGATGCTCCCTTGTCTAACTAAAGCCAAGAGACACTATATTATTGACTTTCATCTTTGTCTTTTCAAAAAATTGAAAATTGTGACACCACAATCTTAAATATAACAATAAGAAAGGGTATCCTACCTTACTGAAACTATTCTGCCCGAACAATTCAGCGGAAGGCCTTCTACTCGAGTTCAATCTGCCGCCAAAAGGGCAAAAAAAGAGTGAATTTATCTACTACTGCACGGAAATAATTGCAACAACTGGAAAATCTCAGAAAAAAAATTACCCTATGATGGGGGTCGCACGATATGGAGCAATAAAAAAGCGGTTGAAATTATTGGATGAAAGCTGAGGAGCAGGAAGTATCGCCACCACGGGCGATGCCGTCATCTTTATTTTCCGGAAAGAACTAAATTGTGAAATTAAGCAGAGTGAAAGTGTGAAGATTGGATTGCGTGATTCATCGGATTTTTTGTTGGATATTCGAGAGTAGCATGGTTGGAAGGAAGCGGAGAGAGGGTCATTTTTGTCTGCCACGTGAAAAGGTTGTACGTGAACGGCCCGCATCTCCCTCTTCATAAATATCTCACGTGGGCCACCGTGGCGCGAGAGCGCGGGTAGGCTACACTAACTTTGATTCTCACCAAAAATATAATTTAGCATAATCTATGTGGTCTACCCATTAAAAACACCAGTTAACTCCATATACTTTTAAAATATTTATTTTACGTTCTATACCTATTTTATAAAACTTTATTTACTTCTTAAATCTTTAATATCATTATATGTCATTAAACATATCCCACTTTTTAAGGGATTAGATTATCTCCCCCAGATTCTTTTAGGATATCTTCGATCAATATTTAATTGGGATAAAATACAGTATCTTTCTCAATATTCTATTAAGAATCGTATACCCAAAAAAGGGGGGAAAAGGCCGTATACTCACACAATCTCTTCTTTCAAGATTTTCTTCTCAAACATTGTATTCCTTCTTACTGAGTTTTTCACTAATCACACAATCTCTTCTTTCAAAATTTTCCTCTCAAGCAATTAGCAATCAAAAAGTGGAGGAAAGGATATTGAGAAAATTGGCTTTCTATAGCACTGAAAAAATACTTGGAAAAGGCGATAAAGTTCTTTTTTCATTGAAATTCAATCGGGTGAAGTGAAATTATTGGAAGAAACTCGACATGCAATCTATGAATCAGCTTCCAAAGGGATGATAATGTTAGATTTGCGAAAATACGATCTCAAAATGCTAAGTTCGAGCATCCAAAAAGGATGGTGGCATTAACTTTAGTAGGAAAAAACATGACATGGTAAAAACTCCGGGTCCGAAAAGACGAAAGGTGGTAACAATAATTGCAGTAAGAAGCTTTCAGATGGAGATTTTAACAACATGGATCAAATTCACCTATCCCTGCAAATACAATTATATTAAATCTTAGTATTTTCATAAGTTCTAATTGGATCAATATTCTAATTTAGAACATAGGATCCAAACCAAAAATAAAATATTAGAATACAATATTCAAAACAATATATCATGACATTCTAAAAAAATAATATAATATTCAAATCAAGCATACCACAATCGTCTAAATTAGAATACAATATTCAAACTAAACATACCACAATATTCTAATTTAGAATACAGTATTCAAATCAACACACTTTAATAGTACAACACATTAATAGTATATTTTATTTTATGATTGAATATTGGTATATTGTTAGAAATAATTTGGAATACTACTATTCCTTAATAGTATATTTTAGTAATGTTGATATATTATTAGATTTTAATTGGGCAGTTTAATAGAATATTCTAGTAATTACATATAAATTGAATATTGCTGATTAAGTTTTGAATAATACTATTTAGAATATTTTGAGTTGTAAATCAAAAATTAAGCTTAACGTATGAGTGAGATAATAATAATAACATATAAATTGAATATCATTGTATAAATATTGAATATTATCATAGATGTAGTGAATACTCTAAGTTTTCAATTAAATATTATCAATATAAGAAATGAAAATGCCTCTTTATTTTAAGAATATTACTGTAAATGTATTGAATATATACACTAAATATTATCTATATTGTGAATTGAATATTTTTATTTATCGTGGTATATTTAATTTTCTTACTTTGAAGAGTTTGTATTGTGCAAGGTAATGTATTTTCCAGGAATATGATAAACTTGAGTAATTGGCTTTGATAGGAGAGAGGTAAATAGAAATATTCAATTCACTATCATGAGTTATGGCTACATTTAAGGGATATCCCTATATAATCGTAACAGTTAGGTTATGTGAAATAATTATTTTAAGGATTTTTAACTTTAGAATATATGGTGTAAAGAGGTCCTCTAGATAGGTATATGGTGTAACTTCCCCTATAATTTAACGGCATCACAAGCTGAAAACTAATAGCATATTTGGCCAACCTGCAAAAATCAGCTTATTTTGAGAAGTGCTTTTTTTCAAAAGTGCTTTTCTCAAAAGTACTTTTGGTGAGAAGCAGTTTGTATTTGGCTAATTAGTTTGAAAAGCACTTCTGAGCAGCAATTAGTGTTTGGCCAAGCTTTAAAAAACTGCTTCTAAGTGTATTTTTCTCAAAAGTGCTTCTCAAAAAAGTGCTTTTGGAGAGAAGCTACTTTTTTCTGCTTCCCCAAAACTGCTTCTGCTTCTCCTCAANCGGATCCGCCAAGTTGTTCTCTGACGCAATCTTGGTGACCACTACATTATCACGAATTAAATGATATTTACGCTCAATGTGTTTTGCCCTTTTATGGCTTCGTGGCTCCTTTGAATTTGTAACCGCACCACTATTATCACAATAAAGTGTAATTGGTGCTTGAATCGAGGGAACCACGCCCAACTCTCTCAGGAAGTTACCGAGCCAAACTGCCTCTTTGGCTGCCTCAGAAGCTGCCACATATTCTGCTTCCATGGTGGAATCAGCAACACAAGTTTGCTTGATACTCCTCCAACTTATGGCTCCACCTCCAAGAGTAAACACATTACCTGAGGTAGACTTTCTAGAATCTCTGTCTGATTGGAAATCCGAATCAGTATACCCAATAGGTACAAGGTCATCCGAATGGTAGATCAACATGTAATCCCTAGTCCTTTCAAGGTACTTGATTATATGTTTAACCGCCGTCCAATGCTCTTTCCCAGGATTAGACTGAAAATCTGCTAACAAACGCCAAACGACAAAAGCAGATATCAGGCCTAGTGCATAACATAGCATACATGAGGCTCCCCACAGCTGATGCATAAGGGACAGGCTTCTAGCCCGTTTGGCCAAGCTGCAAAAATCAGCTTATTTTGAGAAGTGCTTTTTTCAAAAGTGCTTTTCTCAAAAGTACTTTTGGTGAGAAGCAGTTTATGTTTGGCTAATTAGTTTGAAAAGCACTTCTGAGCAGCAATTAGTGTTTGGCCAAGCTTTAAAAAACTGCTTCTAAGTATATTTTTCTCAAAAGTGCTTCTCAAGAAAAGTGCTTTTGGAAAGAAGCTTACTTTTTTCTGCTTCTCCTCAAAAGCTACTTTTTTTTCCTTCCAAAAGCTTGGCCAAACACCTCAAATTTTGGCCAAAAGTGCTTTTGGCAAAAAAAAAAAAGCACTTTTGGCCAAAAAGAAGCTTGGCCAAACAGGCTATAAGAGCCTGTTTGGATGGGCTTAAAAGCTGGTCTTTTTAACTTTTAGTAGTGTTTGGCAACTAAAAAAAGTTAAAATCTGCTTAAAAAAAAAGCCAAAACCAACAAGTTGGGTAAGCCCAACTTTTTCGAAATTGGCTTAAAAGCCATTTTTCTTTGACCAAGTATATTACATTCTTATCCCTTATACCTTCCTTCCAAAAAATTATCTCCCCTTCGTTTCTGCAGCTACCGCTTGGTATCCCGAAGCGGTCCAAGATCTGCCAGGATGGATTAGGCAATTGGATACTTCGTTCCCATTTCTCGTAATTCGATGTTTATCGATTTATCTTTTCCTTTGCAGATCGGGAAGAAGGATGTTCTCGCGGGGCGACTTCAGGAAGAAGTTGCTGCTATGAATACGGAGATCCTCGAGCTGAGGAGGCAAAACGAGATTGTGACCTCGGAGTTGGAATCGACCCAGGGTCTTCTCCGAAATGCTCGAAAGGAGGTTGCTGCGCTATCTCCAGCCAAGTCCGTGGTCGAGGAGAATGTCGCTACATATCTGAGGGACGTTGCTACTGCGAATCAGCTAGCCCGAGAGATGTCAGAGGAGGCCGAGCAGAAGCTGACTCGGGCCATCGCTTACGCTCGCGCTAAGACGAGGAGGCAAGCCTTAGAGGAAGCCAATGTTGAAGGTGCCGATCTCTTAGCCAAGATCGAGGAGGCCCGAGATTCGGAGCAAGAGTTGGCACTCTTGGTCACTTTGGATGAAGATCCCGGAAATGGCTCAAAGGGTAGTGGTGACGAAGAGTAAGCATGTATCACCTTTCCTTCTATCTTTTTTATTTTATTTTTGTGCATGCATTCCCGGGGAAACGGGTCTTGTAAAGGTGCCCCTTGCAAACATATTTTTGGTAATGTAAAAAAAAAAGATTTTTTGTTTCCAGCCTTGCATTCTTTTTTTTTCAGCGACCGTGCGGAATTCAGTCTTCGAACTTCGACGTTGACTCTTAGGAGTTCATATTTGGGGGCAATCGGGACTCTCGAGATCAGGCACCATCTTAAGGTTAGGTCAGTGGCTTCTTTGGAGTCGATGCTTATAATAGCAGATATCCTCGCGGTCTCGATATTTCCTGAGCTTCGTGTGACAGCATTATTCATGCGACACGGTAGTGGGTCCCCTGGGGTAGTTCCACCTGTACATTTCCCAAAAAAGTGGTGCTGTCATGGCCAGACCTAATTGGTCTTCTGGATAGGCGAATAGTCTCAGTTTCCCTCTATATATGTGTTCACTCATTTCTCAACTGGGGATTCTGCTACTCTGGGCAACTATCCCTCTCATAGAACTTTTGTTAATTGTGCTAGTTCTCTCGTCATTTCAACTTAGAGCCTTCGTCCAAATCTTCGTCCCCCTCTTCCTATTTTACTGTAGCCATGGCTGCTACATCGAAATCCGTTCATCAAGGAGAGTAGAGTTCTGCCTCTGTTACGCATTCGGCCGGTGGTACACTACCGGTATCTGGTGAGCAGACCTCGAGGTGCTTTGTCTTGAGGAGAGACTTTATGTCGGAGAGACCTCCCGACACTCAAGGCCATCGGGAGCATGCATCGAGGTTCATCTCCTCAATATGGGAAGAACATCTCGAGATGATTAGGAAAGACTGCGGATGGGGAGAAGAAGTGGTACTGCAGGTACCTTCCACAGATGAGAGCATTATGACCCATGTCGAGGGTTTTTTAAATGTGTATAAGTATCCCTTTACGTTAGGCTCCCCTGACAGGGTCGTGCTTGATTTCTGTAGGAAGTATCAGGTTACCCTGGCGTAGGCTCACCCATCCCTTTAGAAGTTAGTGTTGATGATAAGGTACTTTGCGGATAAGGCCGGGCTTGAATTCACCCTTAGCCATC